TACACAGTTGATACTTCATAATTTCGGATTAAACTAATTGTATTTGGCTGAAATGATGAAGTTCGCGTCAATTTTTATTCTTTTACAAGTTGGCTGGAAAAAGAAGTACACAGTAGAAACAAATCATTGGAACGAGTAGTCATTGCATTTGTTAGAAAAGTTATAGGTATATACACTCCTACTTAGAATAGGAGTAATATTAGTAATAGGAGGAATAGTATATTGTGTCCTACTTAAAAAAAGATAGTATTGTAGTGTCCTAGTTAGAAAAGGAATTTATTGTAGTGTCTATAAATATATATATGGTCTCTCTGTAATAATGTAGATAAAAACAATTCAATAACATTCTTTTCCAATATTTCTCACACAGTCTTAACGAACTTGGTAGAGAATTAAAGAGCTTCCGCAGTCGGCGGGTGTATATACCCATATATACTGCCGTTTGGCCAATGATTGTGTTAACAAAAGTAGGGTCAATGATATATGCATGGACCTATATACATGGGGAGAAAACTCCGACAGCCAGGTCACCAATTTCAGTCGGTATTTCTAGCACCATGCCATCTTTTTTTTTTTTTTAGACAAGAGAAACCCTCAACCGCTACCCTTTTGGGTGCACACACGGTAAAATCCCGCTCCCAAACAATAGCTCGCAAACCATATATGAGAGGTAACCCACACTAGGCAAGCCTGGAGCGACGAACTCGACCCAGAAGGCAAACCGCTTGCTTTCGCTGGGAAGGGGTTTCAAACATGAGACCTCAACATAGAAGTCTCAAGCCCAAACCACTGGGTCACCCCGAAGGGTAGCACCATGCCATCTTTCCCGTGACAACTTTTTCATATTCTCCATTCTGGTGACTACTTGCGAATATCTAATTTGTGTAGCACTACGCTATTAATCCGGTGACTATTTTTTCATATTTAATGTGTGTAGCACCGTGTCATCATTCCGGTGGCTTCTTTTCCATATTTACTTTGAGTAGCACCGTGTCATCCTTCCGATGACTACTTTTTTTTGCATATCCGATTTGCATAACATTGTGCACCTCTCTGAACTACTTTTCATATTTAATCTACGTAAACTACTTTCTCATATCTGAGTTGCATAGGATCGTGTCTTTTCGGTGACTCCACATATTTAATTTGCATAGTTTCATTCGTTTTTCTAGTGACTAAAACCTTGTGTGCATAGGGTTGTGTCATCATTCCAATCCTACCCATATAATTTCTCTTTTTCAGTAGGGGTGTGCCATCACTCTGACCCTACCCATATTGTTTCTTTTTTAATAGGATCATGTCGTCAATCAACCTTGCCTTTATAATTTCTATTTTTCATTTTGGTCGTATCATCATTCCGACCCTTCTCATATAATATTATTTGTTAGACTGTGACCACTTTTAGACATTAAATCTAATACTCCGACATATGAGCATGTTCAAGCCAATTTTTTCGGTGACTTTCTTCTTTAATATCGACTCGGCTATTGATTCCAACATGATTCATATACTTTATACTAGATTTGATCACTTTTCGGCAGCTGTTACATTGTGATGAAATCTATATGTAGCAAATAGCTAATTTTGTTGCTCAGGCGGAGTTTAGTAGCCTGCATGTCGGTTGTGTAAGTCACTCTATGGTTTGGAACACTCTATGCAAGCTTGGTTTGGGAAGTTCAACACTGTAATTTATCACTCTGTGTTTTATCGGCATTATGCAATCCAGTATTTCATGAGAAGTCTAAGCACATCGAGATTGACTATCAATTTTGTAAGTCGAGTGATCAACTTGCATATTTTTCACCATACTTCTCATCGGTCCTCGTATCAATTACATTTGTAACAAGCTAGATTCATATAGTTTATATGCACTAGTTTGAGGGGGAGTGTTAGAATAGTATCATATATATATATATATATATCGTCACTGCGCAATTGTGAAACATGTTTTTCAGTCCCACAAAGACGGTGTGGACAATGCTTGAACATACATCCGATCTAATGAGTTGTTGGATGATAAGAGGTGAGAAGTAAAAGTCAGAAAAAATGGTGGAGGATAATAACCTCTTGCATATGGTGGTCAGTCTGGTGGAGAAAAACGGAAGGTGTTTTGAAGACGAAATCAGATCAGTACATGATGTGAAATGGAACCTCCTAGAGACTTTATTTTTTTGGTGTAAACAAAATTGATATAGAGGAAATAGAGGAGTTAGTAAAATTTCTAGGAGCTTTGTAAAGCTAGTGTCTATTTGACATGTAACGTGTTTCTGATGGTGGCCAGCATTCCCAATGCTGAAGAATACAGCATTACTAATCTTTTAAAAAAATATATAAAAAAATTTATATATATATATATATATATATATATATATATATAAAATTCTACTTAGAATAAGAATAGCAGTAGTATATAGTGTTCTACTTAGAAAAGGATTGTATTGTAGTGTCCTTGATGGAAAAGAAGTCTATTGTAGTGCTATAAATATGGTCTCACAGTAATAATGTAGATAAAAACAATTCAATAATATTCTTTTCCAATATTTCTCACGGCATTTAAAGAAGAAATTTTTAAAATGCAAAGTTGGGGTAAATTTGCATTATATATTAAGCTGAAGCAAAAAAGAAATAAGCAATTGTAATAAATAAACCATTGTATATGACTATGTGGCAATTAACGATTGAAAAGTAGCCTACATGGGATATTTAAGTTTCTTACGAAGTAAGCTTACAAACAAATTTGCAAAGATGGATGAGCAAAAGAAATTCATCAGATGGGGGCCATGAAGATTGATCGGAACTAGGTCAAGTAAGAAATAAGTATTTTCAGATTCACAAAAAATCACAACATCAAGATTCATAAAGGAATTGGCAAAGAATCGAGTCATTATACTGCATTGTGTGAATGTCAAAGTGGAAGAGAAACCAAAACACATTAATAGGCTTAGTGCCATCATAATTACTTGGCAATGACGGAATGACAATGAGATGTCATTAGAGGTATAGAAGTAGAACAAAACATAACAAAGAGACATTATCCAAAATTTAGATCAGAAATTAGAGGTTCTCAAGTCCTAGATTTCATCTGGAATATTATTTTTTTTTTGCATTTTTTAAGAGGCCAGGGTTGGGAAGCAACAAACCAAAGAATGTTCAATTAAACCTTACTTTGATGCCAGTCCAAGATCATTGCCACCTGACTGGAAAACTTGTTTCAGAGAATCCTTGAAAACACTATGGCCAAAACTTTCTGCAAGAACAACAAGTCCACCAGTTTTCTCACATGCAACTTTAATTTCAGCAAGGCCGACCTAGCATGCAACAGGTTCCATATAAGTAAGAGAAAACAGCCAAACAGAAAATAGCAAGGGCTCACAATGTGGAAAAGTAAGGAACAAAATGTGGTTGCGCGATCAAGCAAAGAAGTAGAATATCAAGTTATGGCAGTGGCCACATATGAACTCAATATGGATTAAGTAAATACTGAAAAAATTAAAATTTGGAGATACTGAAAAAAGGGAACTTTTGTGTAATAATGATGTTGTACATCACATCACATCACATCAAATCCAGTGTTTCACGAGAGAATCAAACACAGAAAATGATTTTTCATTTCATCAAAAATGAATGTACTATCAAGAGACATTGTCATAAAGTTCGTGAGGTAAAATGATCAATCTGCAGACATATTCATCAAGTCCTTCAGGTCCAAGAACAAGTTATATATGTAGCAAGCTTGGCACATATGATTTGTATGCACCACCAGAGAGAGGGGAGTTTTAGAATCCTAGGAATATTCTATAGCAAGTGTAAATATAGTAGATAGCTTGATTTGATCCTATTGTAATTATGTAGTAATTTTCTTTTCTTTTTAGAGCATGTAAGGTAGTTAGCTATTCACCATCAAAGTATGTCCTGCAGTGAATGGGGCTGCTCCTCCCTTAACCAGAGGTCTCAAGTTCGAGCCTGGTTATGGAAAAATCCTCGGTACGAACTACGGAGCACTCCCCCGAATGGGACCTCCGCAACGCAAATCCGGATTAGTCGGGCTCTAATGCATGTACTTAACACCATATGGGAAACCAAAAAAAAATATAGTTAGTTATTTAAACCCCAAAAGCTTGAGGAGTTATCAAGATGTATTCGCTCTCAAACTCTCTTCTTACTCACAAAATACATGTGTCATTACAGTTGTAATCCTCTCTTATCAATTGGTTATACTTTTATCTATGAATGATTGAACGTATTTCTTTTTTCACTGTGTTTATATAAGAGCATGGTCGTATAAATACCGAATCTCTCTATAAAAGAAAATCCCCAGGTATGAAAGGAGAAAAGCACTCAACCTAGAAGTGACTTTCAATCATCTATTACAAACTTGGAACTGATTAAATAAGTGAAAGCAATTATATCAAATTCGGGTGAATATTATTTGACATTACCTGTTCAAGTGCACAAGCAAAAACATCCAACACATGCCCTTGATGCACAAGTTGCTTTGAAATTCCCTCGTAAAACTTCACAGCCTTATGATACAATGGTGCAGAATCTTTGTCCAGATCCTTGTGAGACCTTATGGGCTCAGATAAAATCTTCGACACAATCTGCAGTGTTCATTCAATATAAGAAAAATCACTCACAAGTACAAACATGTTGAGTGGCAATTGATAACGAAAATGACCAACGATACGTATAACATGCAAGTGATACAGATTTGATATCTGCTATAGACAGGCTTGATATTTTATTGGCTCGTTACTTTAACTTTTATCATAAAGAAGTTGAAAACCTCTCAATCCAGGTGATAAGAATCATTCTAACAATGAGGAAAAAGCAATCAGAATCTAAGCAAGAAGCCATTGCTTCTTTGGATCCGTAAAACGATGAAGAACAAAAAGAAAAAAAGGAAATATATGACTTCTATTTATTTTATCTATTAGTACTGCTCTTGATATACTTTGCCTGTTCTCTACTTTGTCTTTTTCTTCTACGAAATATATTACTTTGCTTATTTTGATTTACTTCTTTCTTCTTCAAGGTGACTACATTCCCTCCTGGTGTGCAACAATGCAAGTCCTCTTTTGTTGCACCTGCTTCTGGAATCTGGACTTCTCTTTTTCTTTTTGAGTAAGGTAACTTTGTATTAAAACCAGCACTAGATAGCACTCAAAAAACCAATCTGCAAATGGAGTAGATACAGAATGTACCAGATATGAAACAAATCCTAGATGGTACCTAGGACATCTAGCACTGATTCAATGGCACTAGAATACAGTTTAGTGCACCTGAAATAGAAAAGCCAAATGCATTTTACCATCAACTTTTTCCCTTTATTGTATTTCCTCCATAACATTTTCCTTTCTCTTATTCTTGATTTATCGGCTGATTATTTGGAAACAAATAGATCCATTGCATGCTATAAAAATAAATCTTTTACAATTTTATTGTTAATTATTGGAAACTGAGAATCAATTGATTGCAATTATATCCTCCAACATCATAGAAATTACAGTTTCTTGTAATACCTATTTTGGAACTTGGAACTTGGAACTAATATTTTCATTATACTCCCTCCGTTCTTGTTTATGCGACACAAATTGAATGTTCAAAAAGAATAACACAATTCTAAATTTGGAAGTAAATAATTTCCACTTCTCATTTACCTTTAATCAGAAGTTTTTATAACACACAATGTTATGGCATGTTTAAACTTTAAGGCCACAATTTCCAATAAGTTCATGAACACACAAATCCTATGGTAGGTTTAAGACCACAAGTTATAAAAGCTTTCATTTCTTTCTTAAACTTTGTGATGGATAAACTATATTAAAATATTAGAACGAAGGGAGTAGTATTTTGGAAGCTGATACTATTAGTATCAATGTCAGTTGCTATTTTGACATTATAAATGCTAAATTCATACATTACACCCAAGTGTGCGGCCCAGTGGTCATGAAGTGGATACCAATTTTGGGCCATGAAGTGACTGCAAACTTTGGAAACTAGGGTTCAAATCCCAACCGAGACAAAAAACACTAGGTAATTTCTTCTCATCTGCCTAAGCTTTGGGTGGACACTCGGTGGAACAGTTGAGGTATGCACAAGCTGGCATGGACACTGCCATTTTTTTATTTTTTTATGAAGATGTTGTATTAGGAAGGCATGAAGGAGATGCAAATTACATACACAAAAATATGGTCAACTCCTGAGAACAAAATATTATAAAAAGAGTTGCTCTATAAATATAATGCAACTTTTGTTTTCTATAAGACTGCTCTTCAATTCAAAGAATCTTCTGGTTTGTTTCTCACTGTTAGGAGCCATTTATGTGTTTTTGCCTGAAAGAAACACTAAGTTTTACCTCCATCCGCTCAGAGAAAAGATAATAAAGGAAAATGTAAGGCTATCCATCCTAGTTTTTGAATGATATGCCATGATTTTAACATGAGAACCTAGAAACAACCTTCCAACATCAAAGAGTCTAAAGAATAGTGGACTTTTAACAAAGAGTGTGCAATAAGCAACCCTTCTCAACAAAGAGCTATGACTTACAGCACCTGGCCCTTCTGTTGAGGGCCCACCTAAGAATGCCATAATTCTGGCCCCAGAACCTGGAACACATATACCCAACAAATGAGAAGCCACACTCAATGCTGTACCAGTGCACCGTGCAGCTCGATGATCAGCTGGCACGGGCCAAGGATCTCTTTGAAGCTCCTCTAATATCTGAAAAAAAGAGAATTTTAGAAGAAAAATGAAAGTCAGATACAAATCACAAATGGAGTAACAAAACTAGCACTACAATCTATGGCTTGTCAAGGCCATTCACTTAGAACGAAATATCCTATTAGATCTTTCACACTTTCATGAGAAAAAAATCAAAAAAGTCACTTTTTGGATTGGAGTAAAGTATTCTTAAGTTGAGGGGAATGTTGAATAAACACCATGTAAATATTATTTATTCACATTTCAGTAAGTATAAAGGTGGAATAAGATTACCCATTTTATGGCACAGAATAATAGATGAAATGTCTCATTTATAAAAACTGTCATTGAACTAGGAAGGCACTGGAGGAAGCATATTTAGAACATAGTACGTCAGCAAACACAAATGAAGTCAAAAAGAGACAATCATAGAAACCAAGAGGAGCGCATTCAGCCACATTCAAAGGTGTAAAATGAAACATTTCTTTTGGGTTTGGTGGGGGAGGTGAGGGGTTAAGTAGTATTCAAATGCATCCATTCCACTAATAAATGCAATATCTAGACAAGACTTACAAGCTGCATTCCCTTTTTCCCATTTACACGTTATGTCACAAGTTCTGACAAATGAGTAAAATGTATAAAACAGTATTTACATATAAAAAGGCATGATTGAAACCATACCGAGTTGAGTGTAAACTCGCACTCAGATGCAGGCAACAAAAACCTAGAAATACTCTCTTGAGAAAGTCCATCTCTAACCCCAGCAATGACACCTGTGGTTGGTTTAAGCTTATTTGCAAAGAAGCCCATTTGCTCCAACACTTGATCTTTAGAAACTTCCTTTGACCCCTTGAACACATAAACCTTTGGAATCTGCCCAAACCCCAGCTCATGAACATGCACGTAGGTCCCAAATGTGATAAGGCCAATTAAACAATTCTCGGGCAATGTGCCCACTACCTGCTATCAACAGAAGTAATCATGTCAGTGAAAAATTACTACAAGGAGAAAAAAGCATAGGATCTTCATTTGTGACTTCAACAAAAACTAGAAACAGAAAAAATAATTATTTTCAATGAGATACACTTGTATAACAATGAGGAAGGACGTCTAGCAGAAATGTACTATACCCAATACATCACATTCCAACTTGAACCCAGGACCAGACACAAATGCTACTAAAAATAGAAAGCTTCAGTTTGTGGAAGGAAGACGACACTGCCATTCACTACCAGATCATCTTCCCTAGATCATACCCATTTATATAGTTGGAAGTCTTGAAAAGACCCCAACAGAAAGAAGAACTATTTATTAGGTTATAAGAAACTAAGTAAATAAATATGGTAACCCTAGGACATTTTGAAAAGTTCCATTGAGGCCCCTTAACTAATTTTGGACTCAAGTACCCCTGAAGGAGGTATGGTCCGCAGAGCGCTGGAACTTGACCTTTAGATGTAAGATTTAGAGATGCCAAGAATAAAAAATTCTTCAACACGTTGGAGCAGTGTTTTCCTTGAGTGGCTTGAGGTGGTGTAAAGCAAAGAAATTGGGAAAAACTTGTGTTAAAAGTTGAATCTCAACACACTAAACATATATTAGGCAAAGTATATTAAAGAAGTGGAATCAGAACATTGTCTACCCTAACGTCCTAACTCTACTTATATCCACATTTAATACTCAGCCTCGAGCAGGAGTATATATGACATGTATATCCAACTAGTTACATATATAATCTATGGTAGGACATCTGAAAGTTAAGTGAAAATATTTGTAAATTGATCATTTGACCTAATAAAGACTATCACAATATCCAGGGAGTGCATATTTTCACGAATAAAGTGACAGGCAACTTCAATGTGTTTAGCTCTCTCATGAAAACGTGAACTCGATGACGATTTGTAAAGCTTCTTGATAATCAAAACTTCTCGAACAACGTAAACCACCAACTGCAATTTTTTAGTCCTGTCATGAAAAATAGGATTCGATGACATTGTGTAAAGCTGCCAGATTATCACAATATAACTTAAAAGGATGAGATTGTTGTACTCCTAACTCCTCAAATAACTTCTTCAACAAATACATATTTGCATGTCGCGAAGGCCACAACCTTGCTTTGACACTTGACCAAGCAACCACATTTAGTTTTTTGTTTATTTCTAGAAATCAGAGTTCCTCCAAACAATACAAAATAACCTTTTATGGACCTCCTCTCTGAGGCAGCACCAACACAATCAACATTAATATGTCTAACTATTTCAGTATGACCCTATCACTAATATAGTAAGCCTCTCCTTGGGGCATAACCTCTCCCTAGGGCACACTGAAGATACTTTTCATAATTGAATCACCATATCGCAATCAGTCATAGTTAGAAAATTCAAAAATTGGCTTACAATACTCACGGGAAAAGAAAAATGTGATTGGGTGACGGTAAGATAAAATCAATTTGAATTAAAAAGTGTAGCTTAGTGGTCAATGAAATGAATTGAGAACCATGAGATCTTCGGTTCAAATTCCAACAAAAACATGAGGTGATTTCTTCCATATCTTCTACCCTTGGTAAACAGAGTTCACATTGTTGGTGAAGGTGGAAGGTATTCTGTGGAATTAGTCAAGGTGCCCACACGATGGCTTGGACACCATGGTATAAAAAAAAGATAATTCAATCTTCCAACGAATCAACATCTCCTAACACTACTCTTATACCAGTTGGACACTAGGATCCATTGTCGTGTCCTTAGCTTACACTCAGAAATCTAATTTTCTAGGATGTCTAACACATACTTTCTCTATGATATGTAAATGCATTATGGGTCAACCTTAGTGCCAAGTGCAAGTAGGCCTTTAATAGGTCGATATAGACTTCATTATCTTTTGTACTGACAATACCATCAACAAATCATTTAGAATGATATGCTTTCCATCAAAGTGTAGGAAGAATAACAAATATTTTGATCGACTCCTTATGAGACCAAAGTTAAGAATTGTTCAATTTATGTGAATGAACCATGTTCAAGAAGATTGTTTGAGGCCATATAAAGAGCTTTTAAATAAAATAATTATATTTTTACCTCAGTTGTGGATTTTTATTTTTTTATGAAAATGGCAAATTACCCCATTTTCGGAATTACACGAGATATGTTGTATAATTTATTGGTCAAAAAAACTAATAGTTGCACCACGTAAACATCCTCTTTCAAGTACCATGCAAGTACATTCTTGATGTTCAACTATGCAAGCTGCTACTGCTAATACAAACTAGTGATAGGAACAGATAAACTAACACAACCTTAGCTACCGGAGAGTGTATCCCCATAATCCAAACCATAAACCTCGCCAACTCTTAACAACAAGATAAGATTAGTCAAGTGTACCATTAAGAGACACTTTCACTGCATATACCAAACGACACCTCACTATAGTCTTGCCAAGAGTCAACAACACAAGCTCCCATGTACCTTTAGTATGTAACATACTCGTTAGCTAGTACGTGACAGTGCTATGGTAATAGACAGGTGTGGTGACATCATCCAAATGAAGAGAACTGCAATATAATGTGCAGATAAACAAGTGGTTTCAGGTAAATCGGGTGAGATACCTCCTCCACGATTCGAAATGCTACATCTGCCTCACATCCGATTCCATTGTCCTTGGTCCTATTACTGATGTGTGATCCGAAAACATATTATGCATCCTATTTTGTCCTTCCACCCATGTTATTAACATTCTACTCCTAGCCCATTGCAGGTACATCATCTAACATACGCCGTCAATTTGACATGCACGAATATTGCAAATAAATCAAGCCCATATGATCGGCAGTGAAGGAAAGCACGAAATGATAAGTCACTAACCACAGTAATATACTTTGGGCATGCATAAGACGCATTATACACCATACATCTTTTCCTATTGCCAATAAGACGGACATGTTCATTAGTTGTTACAAATTAACCTATGTGTATCCTCACAATCACCATATGTGACCGTTTAAAAGGCAAACTTCCTACTTATCAACTTAGGCAGAAAATAAACTATTTTTCGTTCAAATAGTTTATGCAATATCTTGTTTGAAAGGAACACGAGATGTTTTGATGGGGTTCAACACAAATATGCACTCTTAAAGGCTAGTTGTTGGGTTTACCCTTTTTAGTTGGGCTAACCTCTTCCCTTTAAATAACTTAGATCTCTTTTTGGGAATTTGTCGGCTCCTAAGCTCTATAAGTTTTTTGTGTTTTTTGAGATAAGCGCTCCTCTTTTGTATTCTTCCTGATAAGGTAAAGACAACTCTTCTTCTGTAACTTCTGCTTCCCCTGGATGCCTTTAATGATATTCCACTTACATCATCAAAAAGAAAAAACAAAAACTATTTTCCAAAAAACATGCCTACATAAGAGATGTTCTGCACACAAATTTGACATAAAAGGCTCCCGAAAAACAGTGTTTTAAAAGCGAAAAGTGCAAGGATAGACAAGGTCCATTAGATCTGAAGCAGGAAGGCAACTGCATGCTTCTTTGAAGTAAAACGCATTATTTACAAAAAATAAAAGATAAAATATAACTAAATTTAGTACAATAATAATTAAATTTCAATTAAAATAATTGATGTCAATATTCACTTCACAATAATATTGATATTAATCAAAACTCCTCAAAGTTGATAATCAAAGGATCACTATTACTTATTGGAATCACTTTAAGTATCTCTCTTTGAAATACAGCTCACATTCATGTGAAGCGCATGGCATCACCCATGAAGTGGTGACCCCTCCTTTTGCATCGCTTCATCCTAGTTGAATTCGTTGAATCCTCAATACTATTCAACTCCGTTTATTCATAGG